CAGGAATGTGAGGTCTGTGAGTGGCAGATACTCTGTTGTGAACAAGACAGGAAGACAGCCAGCCACACTATGGGTGGAATAGCTCTAGTAGAGAATCACATGAAAAAAGGCATTCCAAATATAGTACACAGCTCTACGGTCTGAGAAGCATTCGCTAAATATCAGTTTCAGGTGGCCTCACCTATGTTCAAGTCCTTTGCTAGATGTACTACATAAATCTTCTGAGCCATAGTGACAGGGTTCATGGCTAAGTCAGCATACATACTATGGAGCAAGGGTTGGGAAACTATGGCCTGTGGGCCAGATTCACCTAGAAGCCTGTTTTTGTAAAGTTTTATTGGAACACTGCCATGTCCACTCATTAATGTGTTGTCTATGGCTGCTTTCATGCTACAACAGCAGGGTTGAGTAGTCATGACAGATTATATGACTTAAAAGGACTAAAGCACTTATTATCTGGTCCTTAGCTGAAAGCTTGTCAGCCTTTACCGTAGAATATAATAGTCTGCATAGAAGCTTCTAGATAAGCAAGAGAACAGGAACCGGAAGTGCTTTGAAGCTACCTTGTGATATCTAAGCCATTTTACCTCCAAAGAAAGGAAAAAGGTGAAAGCATAAAAAAGCTGAATTAACTAAATTAAAAGAAAAAAAACAGATTTACTTAATTTAAAGATAATGATCAAGTTTTTTCTGAATGCTCCATGTATGTTTTATGAGATCAACGTTCAGAGAAGCCTTTGGACTTTGCTCTGCTTGGCGAAGCTCATGCTAAATTAGAGCACCTAGACTGAGCTTTATTTTAATAAAGAAGATCAGAGAGTGCCCCATCTTTGGATAAACACTTCATGAAAAGGGAGATTTCTTATGAACAAATATGGTTGACAACCGTAATAATTAATGATAATAATAATTGCTACTACTTATTGAGTTCCTATTACGTGTCAGGCATTCACTTTAGGTATGTTACATATGGCATGTTATTCGTAATTCTCAAAACAGCCTGTCAAGATAAGCACTATTACTTCAATTTCCCAACAGAAGGAACTGGGGTAAGCTAGTCTAAATAATGAAACCAAGCCACACAGTAAGTGGCTAAATTGGGATTTCAACCCAGTCCTGTAAGACTCCAAGACTTGTCTTTTCACTAGACCTCAGTGCCTCTTCAATTATTCTGTGCATTTTATAATAGATAGTACTGGTATTTCAATATGAAAAAAAAAAGGAAGAGGCTTTATAAGACTAAATATACCCCTGTCCCCTCAACAGCCATCACAACATTCATTTATTAACACAAACAGTGAGTGGCAATAATAATGTGGAAGAAGAAAATTCCAGGCAGAGGAACTATGAAACAACATTTATGTTTTTTTCTTTTTTTCCCTTGGAGAATGCATTTCTGAACACAGTCAATTCCCTTGTCAATGCTGATGAACCATTTGCCAGCTTCTACCACGGTCTGTGCTGGTGAACTAAGGGTCTATAGCTTAAACAGAAGAGTGTCAGATTAACTTCTCTTGAAATAATCTCAAAAAATAAAATATCTGGTGACTGGACAATTTCAATGTCCAAGAAGCTTCCAAGGATGCATGAATTTACCTAGGTTTTTCAGTGGAAGATCAATTTATCAAAAGATAATTTGTAAAGCAGGTTTAACCGCTTAGGGACCTTGGAGTTTGATCCAGGAAAGAGAGAGAGTGCCAGCAGCATTATCAGCTTTCTGATGACAC